ACTCAGCTCATAATATCATCATAACAGTATGATTCTAATCTGTATAAATACCCAAATATTTTAGATTCCAAATTTACGAATTAGTTAAGGCAATGTCACAAGTCTCTAAACCTATTCCTTCTCAGTTTAAAGCTTTAGATATCTGCTTATTTTTTTTTTCATTTTGCGTGTTTACAATTGTAATTATTTTACTTTCAATTAGTCACTTCTAAATATACTTGTTTTGATTGTCGCCGTTGGTCGATCAGCGTTTATTTTAAGGTTACAATCGAGCGATTATGCCTGAAGTCTGAGAGAGTCTGAAAGTTATGAAGATGAAGAGAAACAGTGTAACAGCGAGCGAGAAGTGTAGATACTCATCGGGAAGTATACAAATATATTCAAGAAAATAATGGCACGTCGAGGAAAATGGTTTCTATTTCACTCGACAATGAACAACCGACGAAAACAAATAAATTAGCCTGCTACTTCTATCGAACGTAAACAAAACCTCGCCGAGAAATAAAAGTTAATCATGTAAATACATGAATAGAGAAGCAAAGAAAAAACTACCACAATTCCGGGATAAAAATAGATAAGAAATTTGTAAATAAATTAACTTAGATTTGCTATTTTTTTAATCCTTGTTTGCCAAGCTTAGGGAAGAGGCACAGAGAAGGCGTCTAAGTTTGTTGCCTTTCATTTATTCAACATAAAAACCCAAATCAAATCCTATTCATTTCAGAAACTTTACTTTCCCTGCCGCCATTTTTTTCTTTTTTTTCTTTTTGCCCTTTTCTATCGAGTCTTTGCATTATAGCGGTGATTAACTGAGTCAATTCATTTATCAGATTCTTTTTCCAAATGTCAGATGATATTTAAAATGCAAACTCTTAGCTAAAATGAATTTATTGATCCCTATTTTGAATGCAAAAGAAAATCCGAGAAATATTCATTATCTAAACGATACTGACAGTGGAAGTCAAATACTATCTCCTGTGACAAAAGACCGTCAAATGTCATTCGCTCACAAATAAAACTGCCACTATGGGTGCACAAGACATTATAGCAACAAATAATATAATATATTTTCACAAATAAAATTAAGATGCTCACAAAGACACAAATAGACAAATATATATATATATATATATATATATATATATATATATATATATAGCCACGCACAGGCAAAAGAGAGAGAGAGACATTCGCATACACACAGACACATACACACATTTAAAGAATTCAGAGATATGTAATTGGATATTGATCTGAAATTTCGATATATATATATATGCATGTTCTTTACTGTTAGTTCACCCGATACAAGGCCCAAGAGCCACTCAAGTTATAGAGTTAACGAGTGAGATTATTGTAAGGGAGTGGAAAGAGGAAATATGTAATGCATGTTATAATGACGCCTAGGATAGTGATCGGTTGACTTTGGACATGGAGACCCAGATTGTTTTTGTCTGGGAAACACACACTCAAGATTCTATTCCAGAGTTCTAAGGAAGAAGCTGTCTGAGTGGAAATTCAGTCAGTCAGTTATGTTCCATGCGTTATACACGCTTAGGCGATCATGTATCTTTCGATACATGATTGACGAGGCATATTTTTCCCGCTGTCAGTTACTATTTCTTTCTGTCGTAGACGAGTTGCCATCCCTGGTTGTAGAATCCGGTCTAGTTACCCATAGCCTTGAAGAAAAAGAGGATTCATACCTTTCCCAAGGGTACTAGCAAATAAGTGAATGTAATGGATCCGAGTTGAAACTACTCCTCTAGTAATAGATGAGAGAGGTTAGCAACGTTTCATCAGTGGGATAATGATTGCCGTTTGGAGAATAAATCATCACCTACAACGCCCAGTAAGCGCTTTACCGAGAGGATAATGTGAGGATTAAGCAGTATCAGCCCAGATATGGTATTAACACTCCATTATTGTGTAGATCTGACAGCAGATATTTGATATTTTCTAGAGCGAAAAAGATTGATCGATCAATTCTTTTTCTAGGGCTTATCAAAATTTCCAGGTTATTCAAATACGGACAATATTTTTAGGTTATTCAAATACGGACAATATTTTTAGATTTTAAGAACTTCTTTTTAAATAATAAAATTGAGTGATACATATCTTAGCAATTAATCCGTATCTTGAGGTGAAATCCTATGTTTTCACATTGATGGCATTTGCGCGTAAGTGGATATAACGAATTCAACTGGGGTTGGAACTCGGCTCTCCGATTAACAATTCTGAGCAATTATCTATTACACCACCAGCAGATTCAAGATTGCAACACTTGATATTCCCATGTGTTCACCCATTAAGGTACTGACCAGCGTTGGTGTTGCTTAACACATGACACGGTTTCTCAATGTGATGTGGCTGTAAACCAGCGTGGAAAGAAATCGACCATTCTTCTATCAACTTTTGCGAATTCACAAATGTACGCGTTATATTTGAGGCTGAAAGCAATCTTCAGGCCCAACAGGAGTTCAAAGCACTCGGCTTCTGTGAAGGTGTAACCACTTCTCATCATGGGTGCAGGTTTAGGGACTAATGTTGGTTTAATTTCATAATATTAAAAAAATAAGTTCATTGGCAGAAGATGTGATTATGCTTAATGACAAAAAATTATTGCAGTTTACATTTCCTATTATAAATAAGCCACGGAATTTTTGATGTCCTCTCTAAATACCATTTTTTTTTACCTTTATTGTCTGGAGATGTGCAGGGCGGTTATATATGATACCGGAATATTTGAATTGAAAATTTTAACAACAGAATTGTATTTTAATCACTATAATTGAAATATTATCACTTCAGAAAATATTATAGACCTATATATTTGCTTGAATACCTGAGGGTATCGTTTCTCGTTTCAAATATAAAAAAGGCTACTATTTAAACCTTTAACTTTAGGATAGTTTCTACCAAAATTGCTATATTACAGAATATATTTAAACATTATATTTCTTTGATGAGGAGTTACCGTTATTGACATAACTTACTCGGTTTGTTGACCACATATTTACAGATATTGTCACCGCGTTCCGATTTTTATATCGTCTGGTCTTCATCAAGTAACCTACAGAGAATTTCGACCAACACTTTATATAATCTACAGGGTTAGATTGTCCGTCTATAGCTTTCCAAATTAAGGGAAATTTCGTTTTATTTTCATTTATTACTGCTCAGTTATCGCTTATTCTGTTTCTACTGTGTCTAAGTTCACGCTACTTAGCCCCGGGGATTGTACTCATAATTACTATATCACCAAATTCACGAACCTAGGCTTTAATTTACAAGGTTAATATCTGCTAGTACGATATCATAAGAATGCAAGATATCTTTTGGATAGAGGATGATAACAATCTACACTAGAAGATTGAATAATGTATTCAAGGAATGTCCAGCATGATACATGTATCGACTAAAACTTGATGAAGGGCACATCTGAAGAAACGATATTTAAACAACAACAACAGAGATGAAAAAAATGTTCCAAGTGTAAATAACTTTAATTCGTTCAAATATATTTTCATATATCAAGAAATAATTGTAATTATTAAAACCGTTAAAACAAATTCAATCAAATTCGAAGTGGAGAAAAGTAAATCGTTAAGATAAGCTATGAAATACATTTAAGTGAAATACTTGAAATTTTTCGCGTTTAGATATGCGTATTGATTATATATGGAATAACAGAAGAGCAGATTTTATGTTGTATAACAGAAGAGCAGTTTTTATATGGAATACCAGAAGAGCAGATTTTGTATAGAATATCAGAAGAGCAGATTTTAAGTAGTATACCAGTAGAGAAAATTCATGGAATATCAGAAGAACAGATTTAATATGGAATACCAGAAGAAAATATTTTATATAGAATATCAGAAGAGATGATTTTATATAGAACACCAGAAGCGCAACATTCATATGTAATACCAGAAGAGCAGATTTTGTATAGAATATCAGAAGAGCAGATTTTAAGTAGTATACCTGTAGAGCAGATTTATGGAATATCAGAAGAACAGATTTTATATAGAATACCAGAAGAACAGATTTTATATAGAATATCAGAGGAGCAGATTTTATACGGAATACCAGAAGCGCAATGTTTATATGGAACTAGCAGTAGAGCCCAGCGTTGCCCGGGGATGTAACAGTAAGAGATAGATCAAGTATCGACCATCATAAAGACTGAAAAATAAAATTGACAAAGATTATTGTTTAAGGTTGACGGATACACATGTCTTAATCAGTTTTTTTTTTTTTTTTTTTAAATTTGTCAAACCCAAACTCAAACAAAAACATTGTTTTCAATCGTTATGAGTCTATCGATTGAATAGAATTTTATTATAAACAATTGTCTTGTAAAAGGTATTTTTAAAAGCATTCTGAATGTAAAAATAAAGAAATAAAGTGTGCAAGACAATAAGAAACACTACCTGCCAAAAAAAGTGAAGTTTTGTTGAAATCGGTTGAAAAATGTAGGAAATCCGACCCCATATATAAACGAACACACATACACAAACAACCTGGGTTTTATAATAAGTATAACTCGAGATGAGTTGTCCCCCTTTCATTCTGGCGAGAGAATCGTGTTTTATCATGTTTTCAAATTGATTTCGTGCAAAAACAATTGTGTTTTTCCAATTTTTGGCGCTGTCAGAACCATTACAAGGTAATTTTATGTAGAACTGTGAAGTTTTCTTGAAATCGGTTGAAAAATGTAGGAAATCCGATCCAATATATAAACGTACAGACACACACACACACACACAATCTGCGTTTTATAATAAGTAAGATAACAGAAGAGCAGATTTTATATAAAATACCACAAGAGCGTTGCAACGGAATATCCATGCCTCTGTTTCACTTAACTTCCGCAATTGTTTGTTTGCTATGAAATAAGTTAAATTGAATAAAGTATGAAAGTGTCAAACTGAGCAATTTTTGTAGGTATTATTTCGTTTTGCATATTTTTCTTAGAGTCAACTGTTTATGTGAATATATCATATAGTGTCAACTTGAAGTACACGAACCAATGTTCGAAGAAAGAAAGAAGAAAGGAAAATGAAATATGGATGAATGATAGAAAGAAAAAGAATTTTGAATGAGAGAAAAAAGTTAAAATAATTAAAAGCAAAAGAAATATAAAAGTAGATAGAAACAAGAATAAAAGAAGGAAGAATTAATGAATGAAAAAAGCGGGAAGGAAGAATAAATGAATGAAGAAAAAGCGGGGAAAAAGAACAAATGAATATGAAAAAGCGGGAAGAAAGTATAAAGGAATGAGGATAAAGCGAGAAGAAAGTATAAATAAATGAGAAAAAAGCAGAAAGAAAGAATACATGAATGAGAAAAAAGAGTGAAAGAAAGAAAAATAATAAAAGTAATAAGATAAAGACTAGAAAAAAGAAGAAAATAGAAAAACAGAATCGGATAAGTAGAAAGATAAAAATGAAATGCACAAAAAGATATAGAAGAAAAGCCGAAAATAATGGAAAATGAGTAATAAAATGAAGAAAGGGATGAAGAAAGTGAATATAATGAAAACCAACAAAGAAAAAGAAAGAAAATCAAGACAAAAATAAAAACATCAACATTGAAAAGATAAAATAAAAAAACGAAAGGAAATGAAAGAAATAGATTAAATAAAATGAAATAAAAGAAAAAATAAAACAATTATAAATCCTTCTCTTTACACTTTTCTCAAACATTTTTCTGTATACTTACTCTCACTCTCTGTAACTCTTTACGAGCTTAGTGGCACTCCCGACTTGCTATGGGGTAATTTGAATAAAAAATAAGTAAATATAATAAATAAAATAAAGTGAATGCGGTAATACCGAATCAGAAGAAATCAAAATATAGAAGGTTGACGATAAGGGAGTGAGAAAACAAAATAACTTGGAGTAGAAATTAAGAATTAAACGTAAAAAAAGAAAGAGAAAAAAAATATAAGAAATAAAAAGACGATAATGAAAAAGAATAGAAAGAAAAAAAGAGGAAAAATTAAATAAGCGGAAAGAAAAGAAAACAAAACGGAAGGGATGAATAGAAGAATAAATATAGAAGAAAAGAATATGTGAATAAAAATGAAAGAAAAATATAACATTAAGTAAATGAAACAAAAATAAATGTCGAAATAAACGGAGGACGAAAGCCTCAGTTGGACGAAATAAAACCACCAATTAATAACTACAAAAAAACAAAACAAAAAAAAAACATTGAAATAAACATAGAAATACAATGCAAATAACCAACCCTAAATTTAACTGCATGTTAAAATTTAGCTCAGCTTTCAGGAAATGCGGACGTGAGTATCGCAAATGTTTCTACAGATTTCATAAAGGTATAAAAATGATTTGAAATTCCGTTATTTCTGAAGCATTTCCAAATCAGAATAAATTTAAATTAAAAGATGCATCTTAAAATAAATTACTAACAGGTAACTAAATATTTTTAGTAATAACAATGGGCTATATTTAACGGACATCTTTTAAATATCAGAATGCACAAATTTCGAAGTCACGGCCACTAGGTCAGGTCTCACCCAATTTAAAAATATCGTAACTCAAAAATAACATAACTGCTATTGTTAATTTAAAAAAAGAAAAATCGATTTTAATTAACAGTAATTAAAACAAAACATCAAAATGATCGATTGAAAAAGACCATTCAATAAAATTACATTCCATTTATACAAAGCTTTAAAGTAAAATATTTAAATTATTTAAATTTATTTAAATCATTTAATGTTTGCATATTTGTCTCGGAAATGAAGCCTCACTAAGAATTGGTTTAACAAAGTGTTTCGATTACTTAATAAGATTTCTTATCCACCATTACTAGTACATTCTTGCCATACTTTCTGTTAACACGGAATTTCGACTGATGCATATTACAAGCACGTCCAAGACGCAAAAAGTACTTTTCCAGATTTTCTAACACTTTGTACCTGACGTGGGTCGAAGGATGGATAGACAAACATATCCGGTTCGAATAATTTGGATCTTGCTAGCCATTCTTCAGAAAATTATGAGGCTTTATTATTTATTTCTCTTTTAGTCTCAAATCGTCTTAGCAAAATAAACAAAAAATATCAAAGATTTCAGTCGAGATTCTGGATAAGTGAAATTCATTACAAAGCAAATTCATTACAAAGCAAATTAAAAAAAAAACAAAAAACATTTCAATATAGAAAAGTCTTTCTTCGAAAAGTGGTCTCTGTGTTCAGTTTACATCACAGGAGTTATCATAAATTGAAAACACATTTTCGTTAAAACTGCTAAGAAAATACACAACACTGATACATGAGATTCGTTTCAACTTGAAAAGACTAAGTTTTTAAGTATGCATTCCGTTGCCAAGTACTTGCCATTAATCAAACATTTGCTTTCGTCGAAAAAATTCGTTAAGTATTTTACGGAATAATTTGTGGTTTAAGTTATGCAGGTGATAAAATTTTGAGATGTGGCGCTAACATTTTAAAAGTGGTTTGCGATATAATAAATCCAATTATAAAAAAGCCCTCTGATTCAATTGAAAATATATACACACAATATGAGAATATAGGTATGAAAACAATACAGAAAATCTAGAATAATATATTTATGGATAACTACGTGCTTCCAAATTTTTGCGTTTAAAAATATAGAGAGATAATCACATTTGCTGACACAAGATATATTTCTGTTTCTACAAAGTGTAAAGACCTAATCTGTGATGTGTACTGCAAGTATTCTGGGTTGCGCAATGTTACAGTGTCTAGGAGAGAGTTAATAATATGGCCTTTTCAGTAGGAAAAGCATAGCTCGGTGAAAATGACTTCTACGTTCGTTCTAGCTAAAGCATCGCCGGCTTTAGAAGAGTATTGACTACCCAAAGTCTTTAACAAGTATAAATATGGGGTATGATAACCAGCGTTTTTTTTTATTTTTATTTTTTCGTCTCCCTAGGGCGTTTTAATCAGGAACTTAGCACATTGAACCAATCATATATGACGCTGATCACTCACTACATATATATATATATATATATATATATATATATATATATATATATATATATATATATATATATATATATATATATATTACATGAATCATTCATACAAAAACAAATTGATGAAGTTAATGATATAAATGGCGAGTATTCATTTTGGCAAACAAATTTATTAAAATTACATTAATCCACGAACCTCTCGATGAATGTTGTGATCTCTGTTTTTAATAAATTCAACTTGAATATGCTATTTTTTTTACTAGTATTTTCATCTGTTCATACAGACATCATCAGGCATGGAAATTGATTTGTTTTTTAATATATATAGCGTCATTACCACTCATGTCGAAGTTTGGTTCATCAAATGACTCAACGATTCTTGAAATGACATAGCCCAGTAGGCCAAGTCGAAAATGGAAGAATCTCAAGTATTCGTCTTATGGTACCAACATATTGATGTAAAACCTTCTTGAAATGCAATATTTTAATGTATTTTGATGCTTGTATGTTCCTTTATTAATATATCATTTTACTAAGCTTTGCATATTTTATGATGGTTCGAAAGTTATTCTTGTACTCATAAAATACGCCATACTTCAAGCATTGTATCAATACTACTCTCTACTCTTTAAATAATTAGTTAGTAAGCGTAGCTCAGACTGGTATTAATATACATAAAGAAAATCATATACATCGCACAAGGGGACAATTACTGACCTTTTAATAAATTGCTACTTTTCCGCTCTCAGATCATTTCACACTAACTCGAGGTCAGCCAGGGATCTATGCTTGGACATACGCTGTTTCTGATCTTCATCACTGGTCTCCCTGATGTATTCAGTACCCAGATATTTATTCATGTAGTCGATACTATAATTTACTCCTGCCTTAGCAGATTAGCCGTGAAAACTCATTTCAGTTACTCTTGATAGGGAACTTCAATCAGAGGTTAACTGGTACAAGAAATGATTTGTAAAATGAAAAACCCCCCGGCAAAAAAACAACAAAAAAATCCTTTCATTTAATCACCATAGAGAACCTTTTCTGTCCAACATCACAATGACTGATGCTGAACTCTTGGAGATCAACACAACTACTCTGAGCTTTCTTGGCCTCACCTTTCATACTGAAATGGAGTGGAGCGACTCTATCGAGTTAATTGATACGTCTTCTGCAAAGAATATTGGTTCACTGTGCCGTGCCAACCATTTTTTCAAGTTAGAATCTATATTTCAAATATATAAATCTATCATTCGTCTGTGTATTCAATAATGCTGCCATATCTAATCTGTTGTTCCTTTTGTGCATCTCGAGATTCTTAAAAAAAACTGAGATTGGTCTGCTATACAATCGATTATAACCAGGCATATCATCTCCCGTCACTTTCTCACCAACGCGACGTGGCTTAACTCTCTCTATCCGATGACGTTTCGGGTGATTTCCTTTACTGGTTTCCCGACTACGTGAATAAAAGCGTGCGACCAGATTGGCAACTAGGTGTTACGAATTTACTGTTGAACAAGTTAGTTGCGACCGCCACCTCTACTCTAACCGATTTTTACTCACATTACCCAACTTTGCAAACACCTTCAGATTTATTCGTTCCCTGATAACTACAATCTTAAAAATTAAATGCAGCGTCAATCGCTATCTTAAGTTTTGTTGAACTGTTCGTTTTTTTGGAATTTCCTGAATTCCCCCCCCATTTTAAATCTTATTCTCTTCCCCATTTACTGCCTGTAGCCCTTGCGTTCCAATGGTATTTACTCATTGCTTGGTGGGAAAGGATTAAAAAATTAAGTTGGTTTAAAGAAGAAGAGTATTTCTCTGAATTCAACTTCTGGTTTTGTAAATCGTAAAGCACAATACTCATCAATTACTCCAGATACTCTATATCAGCTTTGTATAGAGTGGTTAATAGTAGTACCATTCTTTTTCTCTGGTGTATTATTCTCAATACTCTGTTGTAAAAAAAAATCAATTTTCTATCGTCTGAGAAATATCTTTTTAAAATACATGTATTTTGTTGCGTTTGAGTACAGAATATTTGGAGTAAATTGGGTACGTTATTTTTTTTTTCATTTAAATGATTAGACATCCAAAAACCGTAGTAATTCTACTATACAACAATTTTCAAATGCCATACAACACTCATATGCGATATAGGGAGAATCTCCATGATGAATGTCTCATGTGACATTCCTGTGTTATGTGGTTTATTTTTAATTCAGTGTTTTCTGTTTGGTCATCGTCGGCAATTCCAACCCTGCCAGAACGTTCAGGCTCTTCTATATATCGATATGCCCACTTCTAAACCTAGGGAAACAATTACGAGAACACTCAGATATAGAACCAAAACCACAAACGGCACATATCATTTGGCTTTTTATTCAAATTGTATTTTCTAGTCAGTTTATAGAAGATCCTTAATTGAAGAAAATACATCATATTTTCGTCCATTTTGAATTTTAAAGAGATTTAAAATCCCAACTGAGAGTAGAATTTTCTGGAAAATCTCGATGAAATGCGACCATTCAGAATATACACACCTGTCAAAGATGTCACAAAGGTGAAAAACAAAATCACGTGTTCAACTTTACTTACTGAAAATAGCTAAGATCTTTTATTCCGGCCCAATATATTTTTATTCAGAAATATTTAATCTATGGTGGCAATTTGAACAGGTTCAATATATATGTAGAAATATATTTATATTCTATATAAAAGAAGAATATATTTTTATCATATATAAACATGATTGAAGTGAATGAAAATATGAACAGAAATGTTGAGTGAAAATCAGCAAAGATGAGTATACTACTCTGATGGATACATTAAAATATTCTCCGGGGAAATAAAAAAAAATCTAGCTAAAAAGAAAAATAAGGTCGTTAATATATAAATCCTCCACAACCTATCCGGTTCTTTATTTTAACGGCAAATTACACTTCCTAATGTACATACAATGCAAACCCTTCCGTAAATATCACACGCAAATTAACTCACATCTATTAACAAGCGTGAGATAAAAACATAAAACACACGATATGTACGTAAAAACCTAACTAAACGAAATCGCGATAAAAAATGTCTATGACACACACACACACACAAATACTTATATATATATATATATATATATATATATATATATATATATTTTTGAGGTAAGATGGAGTAATGGATAGCGGCTTGAGGAATCGGAGAGCCGAATTCGATTTCAAGTCGAATCCATTACATTCACTTATGTGGTAATACCCTTGGGGTAAAAGGTTGAATCATCTTCTTCTCCATCCAGCTATGGATGAATAGCAGGACAGAATGGGTTCTATAGCCTTGGATGGCAACTTGTCTAGGAGAAAGACAACTCTGAATTCAAATCCTGCGTCGCTGTATTCAGCCCTTCAAAAAGTGTGGATGGTCCAAAAATATGATCGTCCAAAAGTAAGGGACAAAATTGAGAAAAATAATGTAAACAGTATGCTATATTCAATTTTTTTGATTTCCTCTAAAGAATAAGTCTTACTTAGTCATTTGTAAACGTTGCTTCAGCCGGCACCATGGCGAAACGCCAAAAACTTGATTACTCTGTAAGACAAGCTACACAAGGAAAAGCACACCATTAGAGAGATTTCAGAGAAAGTGAAACGTTCCAAGAGTGTTGTAGGCAGGGTTGTTAAATCCTACAATGATACTGGCAAAATAGTTAGTGCTTTTAAAACCGGCAGACCCCGCAAAACTTCGGCCAGAGAAGATCGAATAATGCAGCGTATGTCATTAAAGGACCGTTTTAAGTCTTGCACAGAAATTAAAAGGGTTATGAATAGTACCTCATGTGTTAATGTGTCAAGACAGACTATTTGTAGACGACTGCAAGAAATAGGGCTGTTTAATCGAACCCCAGGGAAGAAACCACTTGTTAGTTCGAAGAATAAGAAGAAGAGATTAGAGTTTGCAAACAAGTATGTAATTTGGACATATGAAAAT